AATAAATCACTGAGGTATTAAATAAATCACTGATTACCTGCCAGGGTGTTAAATCCTCACTGGTATTAAATAAATCACTGAGGTATTAAATAAATTACTGATTATCTGCTGAGGTATTAAATCCTCACTGGTATTAAATAAATCGCTGAGTACCTGCCGAGGTATTAACTACTTACTGGTATTAAATAAATCACTGAGGAATTAAATAAATCACTGAATACTTTCTGATGTAGTAAAACGGAGATTTGTTTTGCTTGTTAATCTCTGACTTTCTTTTAGATTTGGACAATACAGAGAGGAATGAAAAACTAAAATTTAGCATCATTGTGCGGATTCCTCTGGTAATTCTGAATTATATTTTATTTTCTCCCTAAGCCTTGGGATGGGTCTCCTTTAATTTCTTATTGGAAGACGAGCACGTACTTCCTGTGGATTGAATTATTTTCATTTTCAGTCCTTTCCAAGAAATCCTATCTCTCTCCATCCCTGTCTGCTGTTCTACCAAGTGCTTTGCTCCATTGGCTTTGTATCGTCTTGGCACAGTCACCTGGAATACTTGGACATTTTCTCCTCTTAGGAAAACACACTAATATTTACAGCTGTTGAGTCTGAAGTGAAGCATGTACTTTTGGCATGTAAACTGATAAGACATTTAAATACAGGTAAGGTCAGAAGGTTCTGGAACTGTATTTCCTCATACTATGGTTTCCACCAGAGCAGGAAAACATCTCCATGTCAAAGGAAGAATGAGAGACATGAAAGAAAGTGTTACAAAGGCACTCCTTGTTTTCATGGAGGATGTTAACTCTCTTACTCAGAAATGCTAAGAAAATATGAAATTCCAGGGCAAGGTCTTCAGAGCCTCTGAATCTCTGAACTTCCTGACCCTAAGAGCTCTGGCCAGCTCTGTCGCTGTTCACGTACCTTGAACACTTGTCTCTCTGGCAGGACCCTTCCCATCCTCCCACGAAGGGTTGTCTGCTGCCTTTCTGAACCTACTAGGTTTACAAAGGCAAGAATAGAGAACATATTTTCCATCCTTAGATCTCTCTGGGGAATATCTCTGAACATTTACTTTGGTCTCCAAATTTAATTTTTTGCCTCACAGCCTAAGTGAATTAATGTTTTCTGGTCAAGACACTGGCAGAGGAGTTGCTAAAAAAAAAATAGGCCTTGTCCTTTTAGTTTCCTGTCAAAACATCTTTTAGGGCTGGCATGCAAATCCCTACTTTTGAAGAGCAGTAGACAAATTCCATATCAGAAAAATTTGGCGTCATCAGAGTATAAACTGCCTTCCTCAGGGTAGCACTTGAGGGGATATTTATTTAAAATTCATATCTCTTAGAAACATGGCCTTTTGCCATGGGTCTGTTAACCCTATAGTGCCTGTCTTTTGTACTAAGTAGGTATTTTGGAATAACAATTAAAAAATAGTGAATAGCTGTGTTGTTGTTGTTGTTAAGTGCCGTTGAGTCGGTTCCGACCCATAGCGACCCTGTACAGGGTTTCCGAGGGTGTAAATCTTCACGGGAGTAGAAACCTCATCTTTCTGCCGCGGAGCGGCTGGTAGTTTTGAACCGCTGACCTTAAGGTTCGCAGCCTGATTCGTAACCACTACGCTACCAGAGGTATATTTATTTAATGCAGTGTGGACTACACTCTCAATATATTTTCAATTTGCCTTACAGTTAATTGGTCAGAAGATTAGTCGACTTTGGGATCATCCCATGAGTTCCAGCATTATTGCACGGAACCACGTGAAGCAGTTGCTTCAGAACTATAAGAAACAAGTGAGTGTGTGTGAAAGCAGTCATGCTAACTGTGTTTTGGGTCCTATTTGCAAATTCCAACGTATCTATATGAGCAGCAATTGTAATTATCACCTTAGTTAATTAAATGTGTGCTTGTTTTGGAAAACCAGCTTTAATACCAGAGTGGTTTCTGTTTCAGCCTCGAAATTCTATGATTGACAAGTCATCATTCAGTGTAGAATTTCTGCCTCTGAACTACTTTATTGACATGCTGACATATATAGAGACCTCCAGCCAAGGTAACTAGGGGCTCAGGGTTTTCCTGCTTTCCCTTGACACATCAGGTCATTCTTCATTCACAGCTGAGTACTTTCTTCCCCAAATATTGTACTCCCTACTTACTGCAATTGGCTTTAGTTAGCAATATACACGTTGTTGTTATTGTGTGCCGTGGAGTCGGTTCCGACTTATAGCGACCCTGTACAGGATTTCTGAGGCTGTTAATCTTTACGGGAGCAGAAAGCCTCATTTTTCTCCCGTGGAGCAGCTGGTAGTTTTGAACTGCTGACCTTGCGGTTCTCAGCCTGATTCGTAACCATTACGCTACCAGAGCTCCTTATAATGTACACATTAGTACCTGAGTAAAGTATCAAAGGAATAATTACTAGACTGAAGTTTTAAAAGCATTTAAAGCCCATTTAATTCCTGGTGTGGCACTGTAGGATAAGCACTGGACTGCTAGCTGCAAGATCATTGGTTTCTCAGAAACCCTGTACAGGGTCACTGTGTGTCGGAACTGACTCAATGGCACTTATAACAACAATAACAACGCAGCCCATTGGGTGAGTGTGACTGCCCTTTCTTGGTGCTGAGGTTTAATGTTTGTTCTTATACAATGACAACATTAATGTTTTATAATATAGATAATATATCAATAAAAGAGTTTTTTAAAATTAAAATATGACTCCTGGTATGGTGCTGTAGGATCAGCACTGGACTGCAAACCACAAGGTCGGCAGTTCAAACCCACCAGCTGCTTCTGGGAAACCCTATACAGGATTGCTATGGGTCAGAACTGAGTCAACGGCACTTAGCAGCAACAACATGATTTCTACTGGAGGTGAGAGCACAAAGCTATGTGATCGCTGGCTTCATAGTAACTCTTCTCTCTCTGTTTCCAGCTTCTGAAGGACACGACAACGTGGATGCTAAGTTTGTAGGGGAAACAGCTCTGAAACACACCACAATGCTCTTAGGACTATAAAAGAACAAATGCAGTTACATCAGCTTCCAGAATTTTAATCTCACGATTGCAATATTTAAAAATTTTGACCAAAATAAGCACCAACTTGAGTCATCTTGACCACAGTTTGGTACTAAATGGGTAGAACCAAATGACTGTCCCTCACCCAGTTTCAAACGCAGAGAAATGAGAAATAGTCCAAAGAGGCATAAATGGCATTGGTGATGCTCTTTGGGAAATGATTTTCCTTGTGACCTAATAAGCCCCAAACCAGTTTCCTCTCACTCTGAAATAAAACATGCTTTGAAAATGCAGGGAACTGTCATTACAAAAGGAAAAAAATCAATGCACCTGTATAAATAATATATAATCTGAAAAATTAAATGTTACATAAAAACTTTGTTGGATAGAGGAGACTTTTAAAAAATGTACTTTGCAGTAAATGAAACCTTCTATCTCCAGGATAGAATAAGTTGTAATTTATAGTTTGTATAGCTACAGTATTTGGAGTACAATTTGTTTTTGTGGCTGTTCAGATGTATTTAATTTGTAAAAGTTTTTTTTTTTTATATTTATAAAAGTTTGATTTAGTAATGTTTTGTCATTAAAACAACAATAACCAAAAGTAAACACTGAAAGTTTTGGTCTGATTCTTCCTGTTCTTTGAACATAGCCTTTTTATTCCTGCCAGGAATCAAGAGTTCATGGACAAAACCTGCAGTGACCCCATGACACCTAATTTTCTTTTGGTTTTCTCTCTTCTACAGTGACTTAATTCTGACCCATTAATGCAGTTACAGCCTGAGGATATACCATGATCCCTTTCTTTTCTCTCATCACACTGTTTGCCTCAGTGAAATTATAATGATTATAAATGCTAGTGGGTATAATTCAACTGCTTTGCTAAAATCATCATGTTCCAGAAATTGTCTCCCATAGCATTTCCCTAATTTGGCCAAATTCTTCATGGTCATTGAAGCTCAAAATCTTGGAGCGAAATCAGCAAAGCAATGATGATTCTTTCCCTTGATACTTTCCAGAAGACGTCTTACTTAAAAGCAGCCCGATTGCAAACTCAGGAGCGCTGGTAACACTGCAGGATAAGGACTGGACTGCTAACTGTAAAGTTCCCCAGTCCTTCTCTGGGAGAAAGATGAGGCTTCCATGAAGATTTACAGCCTCGGAAACCCTATACAGGGTCACTATGAGTCAGAAGCAGGTCTATGGCTTGGTGCTCTTTTTGGTTTATTACTGCTGGCTTTAATTAGTAATACACTCACATACTTTGGACGCATTGTTGGGATGGACCAGGCCCTGAAGAAGGACATCATTATTGGCAAAATAGAGGGTCAGTGCAAAACAGGAAGCCCCTCAACAAAGTGGATTGACAGAGACACAGTGCCTACAACAATGGGCTCAAGCAGAGAACTGATTGTGAGGATGGTACAGGACTGGGCTCTATTTTATTCTGTTGTTTTACATAGGGTTGTGTTGAGTCAACCGTGACTAGATGGCACCTAGCGTAGCAACCTATAGATTCTAGCTGTTCTGACTCATGGCGACCAGTAAGTGGCAGAGTAGAGTCATGTGTGCCATAGGGTTTTCAGTGCTAGAGTCTTTGGAAGTAGATCACTAGGCCTTTCTTTGGATCCTTCTTGGGTGGATTTGAATCTCCTGTTTGCAGCTGAGTGGGTGAACTATGTGTACAAGGTACCCCTAAGTAACTGTCTTATAATGACGTCACAAAGCCATCAGGCTAGGTTCAGGACTCGCTGACTGAGAATGAGATGACATTTTCCTCCACTCTAGGACTAGGTCTTGCTTGATTTAGCAAAATAAAGGAATGTGATTTTTTTATACCCGGAGTTGTGATCTAAAATTCATTACTACTACCTATATGAAATAAAGATAGCTTCAGAATATTAGTGAATGTAAGATCACAGGTTCCAAATCCACTTGTATGTTCTTATACATGAAAAAATATAAAAACAATTAGGAACATATACTTAACATGAAATAAAACCAAAAAAAACAATGGAATAAGTGGAACTACCTCATTTCCCACGCTTAGACATGCAAAGGTACAAATACTTCCACTGAGGTTCTGAAAAAATCGGGTATCAGAATTTTCATGAGTTTATTAGAAAAATAGGGACTTAGAAGGGATGTACCTAATTTTTTTTTTATGTAGCAAAAGGATTCCTTTAAAATCATACAGCATTACTGTAAAAGTGTCACTACTGCTTTTTTTTTAAACATGATTTGGATTTACCAGCATTAGCTCCAAGTGCAACTTCTTATTCAACCAAGTGAGCTGTGCCTCTGCTGTGCTTGAGAGATTCTCTCTCTTCAAACAGCCATTCTACCTTTGTCTTTAAAGTGATTATGTTGAATTTTTTTTTTTTTTTTTAAATAAAGACCACTCTGCCAACTTCTGAACCTCATTGAAAATTTATTTTCATTGCACCTTTATAACAACTCACCTCCTATAGTGTTCTGGAAGATTGTTAACATAGAGAGGGAAAAAAGAGATGAGCAGAGTGTGCTCTGACATATTGTAGGACCAACCTTTGTCCCATCACCACCCCGTAGGATGTAGGAGTTGGGAGGTGTAAAGGAAGCAGTGTTGGGCTCCACTGTGGAAGCACTGTGGGCATCTTAACTCATCTGTACTTTAGGACTCTCATGCTCACATTTTCCAGTTGGGGATGCAAATGTTCACCATGGGAAGCCAGCCTGGTGCATAGATTCAGATTTCAATCGGCTTTATAACAGGTTTCCTTATGTGCCTCATGTTGGCCCCAGGTTCACTGGGTTTAAAAGGAGCCAAGGCACCATACGGTTTTGGCAATGGAAGAGTAGCATCTGCTTCTGGGATGTAGGCAGTGGGGCGCTGCTCTGCCGTCGTGTAAACACCACTGGGCAGCTGGCGACTGTCTGCTTCTGCGAATTCCTGCAAAGAGTGCGTTTTCCTTTCAGTTTTCTGAAAACTGGTAAAGTCACTTCATCGGCAGGTCCCTAACAGATGCACAGCCTGAGAAGGTGAGTGAGGATGGATGACATCAGCACACACACACTGCAGCTCATGGAGGATGTTATGTTGCTCAAGCACCACACTGTGCCTGAGGTCTAAGGTTTTTAAAATAACTGATTGGTGGGGCCTATTCAGGCACACCTCATTTTATTGTGCTTTGCAGATATTGTCTTTCTTACAAATTAAAGATTGTGGCAACCCTGTGCTCACTTCATGTCTGTGTCACATTTTGGTACTTCTCACAATATTTCAACCATTTCATAATGGCAGTTCTTGTTGTTAAGTGCCATTGAGTCAGTTCCAATTCATAGCAACCCTGTATAGGGTTTCTGAGGAGCAACTGTTGGATTTGAACTGCTGACCTGTGGTTCACAGTCCAGTGCTGATCCTACAGCACCACGCCATGAGTCCATTTAATAGACTATATTGTGGTTAAGTGATGTCGAGTTGGTTTTGACTCATAGTAAACCTCATAGGGTTTCAAGGTATGGCTGGTGGTTTGCATTGCCAACCTTATGGTTACCAGTCCAGTGCTTAACCTACTGTACCATACCAGGACTCTAGCAGACCATAGTATAGTGTAAACATAACATTTATAGGCACTGGAAAACAAATGATTCCTGTGACTCACTTTATTGGGATGGTTGGAACCAAACGCACAATACTGCTGAGGTATGCCTGTATTGATTATATGCCACTTTCAGTATCTTTTCATCAAATAATAATAACTCCATGGTTTGGAAAAGGAGGACAATATATTTTGGGAGGTCGTTTGTGAGAAGGTGTAATAAAGGAAGAGGTAAAGAACAACACAAAACCAGAGGAGAAATGTGGGGAGCAGCTTGTTTTGAGCCTCAAGGTCCTCCAGGTTCTGGTGGAGCCTCTGGGAAAAGAGCAATCTTAAGACACTAAAAAAACAAAAAACAAAACCTCAAGTGAATGGAGCCAGGGGAATGACACTAGGTAAGATGGGAATGTAGTCCAAGCAATGGGAGAACTACATAGCAGACCCTGCTGTCAGTTGTTCGTGTGTGTTTAGAATGTACGATGTTCTTGGGTGAGGGAGTGCACGGGGGTCCCTGGGGAGGACATCTACTTGACAGTGTAAGGGTGAGCTCTATAGGTGTCAGTCTGTAATCTCCCTGTAAAGAGATGCTCTCTTTCATATTGAAAATACTGAAAGGTCTTAGGGCTAGACAGAAGAACTGGGGACCCAACTTGGAGGTGGAGTTAAGTGGACAGACTTTAGCTTAGGCGAGTGGCAGGAGAAAAAAGGCAGGTGCTGCAGTGTGTGCGGAAGATGGTGACCATAATACAGCTGGAGGCCTCACAGTCTGCTCTGGAGGCCACAGCCAAGGGGCATGGGAGAGTCAGGTGTGGTCTGAGAAGATGCGCAAGGACTGAGACTGGAGACTCATAAGTACTGGCATGCTAGTGGGGGCCACGGTTATGCCACATTAGCTGAGGATGTAGGACTATGGGGTGGGACTTGGAGGGCGACAAGCATTCTCCAGGGAACACTGCAGCACTTTGAGCTATTACAGTTTATCTTAAAAATACCAATGTCCCTCTAATGACCATGGTGACTGTATGTGTGGTTCAATGGAAAATACACAGGTATTTTGGGATGATTGGTACCCTGAAAATAACCCACCCTGGCACAGTTAACAAGTGCAACACAGGAGCCAAACCTTACCTGAGATTTCTCAGCAATGGCCAATGCATACATTTCTTCATCTCGAAGTACCTTCAGCCATTCTCTCTCAATCTCCTTATTGAGTGGCAGACCCTTCTCTATCCTGGAATTGCAAGAGTAGATAAAGTCTTCTTTCTCCCTGACTTCCTTCTGGAGTTCAATGGCCAGAGCTTGTTTCATGGATAACTCAGCAACAAGTGCCATCAATTTTTCAGTAGCATCTTTGATCTTCTTCTGATAGCCGTTCATCTAGAAATAAAGAGCCCAAAGCTCAGATTACACTTAAAGAAT